GCTATGGAGATCTCACTCATGTCCCCGCGACGGTTGCTATAGAGATCTCACTCATGTCCCCGCGACGGTTGCTATAGAGATCTCACTCATGTCCCCGCGACGGTTGCTATAGAGATCTCACTCATGTCCCCGCGACGGTTGCTATAGAGATCTCACTCATGTCCCCGCGACGGTTGCTATAGAGATCTCACTCATGTCCCCGCGACGGTTGCTATAGAGATCTCACTCATGTCCCCGCGACGGTTGCTATAGAGATCTCACTCATGTCCCCGCGACGGTTGCTATAGAGATCTCACTCATGTCCCCGCGACGGTTGCTATAGAGATCTCACTCATGTCCCCGCGACGGTTGCTATAGAGATCTCACTCATGTCCCCGCGACGGTTGCTATAGAGATCTCACTCATGTCCCCGCGACGGTTGCTATAGAGATCTCACTCATGTCCCCGCGACGGTTGCTATAGAGATCTCACTCATGTCCCCGCGACGGTTGCTATAGAGATCTCACTCATGTCCCCGCGACGGTTGCTATAGAGATCTCACTCATGTCCCCGCGACGGTTGCTATAGAGATCTCACTCATGTCCCACGCGACCGTTGCTATGGAGATCTCACTCATGTCCCACGCGACGGTTGCTATGGAGATCTCACTCATGTCCCACGCAACCGTTGCTATGAAGATCTCACTCATGTCCCACGCGACCGTTGCTATGGAGATCTCACTCATGTCCCCGCCACGGTTGCTATGGAGATCTCACTCATGTCCAGCGCAACGGTTGCTATGGAGATCTCGCTCATGTCCCCGTGACGTTTGCTATGGAGATCTCGCTCATGTCCAGCGCGACCGTTGCTATGGAGATCTCACTCATGTCCCCGCGACGGTTGCTATGGAGATCTCGCTCATGTCCAGCGGAGATCTCGCTCGATGTCCCGCACGACCGTTGCTATGGAGATCGCGCTCATGTCCCCCGCCACGGTTGCTATGGAGATCTCGCTCTTGTCCAGTGCGACCGTTGCTATGGAGATCTCGCTCATGTCCAGCGGAGATCTCGCTTGATGTCCCGCACGACCGTTGCTATGGAGATCGCGCTCATGTCCCCCACCAAGGTTGCTATGGAGATCTCGCTCATGTCCAGCGCTACCGTTGCTATGGAGATCTCGCTCATGTCCCCGCCACGGTTGCTATGGAGATCTCGCTCATGTCCAGCGCGACCGTTGCTATGGAGATCTCGCTCATGTCCAGCTCGACCGTTGCTATGGAGATCTCGCTCATGTCCCTGCGACGGTTGC